TTACGTTCTTCCTGCAATATGAGAAGGGAGGGAGGGACTCTCAGCAGGGATGCAGTCTGGGACACGTAGTTGCAAACCTAGCGACTTTGTTGTTAGATTCAATGACTTTTCAGACCCCCTAACGACTTTTTTTTAGAAAGAAAGGGACTTTTATCGACTTCTTCTGGAGTTTAGAGACTCTGACATGAAGCAGGCTTTCCTTACTGAGGAGTTAGCAACGCTGCTAAGGGTGCAGAGCCACACATGCGCTCAGAGCTCTGCATGGGAGACTGAAGCTGACAGAGCTGCAGCAGTTAGCAGGTTTCACCCTCAGAGACCACCAGGGGTTCATGTTGAGGCATTTTAAAAAATTTTTTTTTGTGCCATAGACACTGTCAGCACAATCTGCAGTTACACTAACAAAAATGCTGCAAAAAACAAAGAATTATGGAAAAATTACACATGGACTGACATAGAGGAGGATCTACACAAGTTTTTTACATCATGTTTTACATCATGCATCATTTACATCATGTTTTTTTGTAGTGGCATAAATAAAAAGTGACATTTGTGAGACTATACAGTGTTTTGTAAATAATTTTACAAAGAACGCCTGGGCCATTGCCTGCATTTTGATGTAAATAGAGGTAAATTACTATGTTCTTTGTTAAAAATTTGCATATGTTTTGAAGTTTACAATTTTTATTTGAAGTTTAAGTTTTAAAAACAGTTCATCACACATATTTGTGGTTTAATTTCACATTAATTTCCATATTGTATAAATGACTGGAAAAAACTTGAGCCCCTGCCCCTTTATAATCATGTGCACGTCCCTGTTCTAGCTCCAAGGTGAATCTTCACTGCTCATGTTCTCCTCAGAAATAGTCACTTCACTCCCCTCAGGTTACTGTACACATGCACCAACTATCTGCTTCAGGTTTGAAATGGAGCTTCATGGTTGTCTTTTGGAGAAATGAACAGTCAAGTTGTGTTTGAAATTTGATTTTTTTCAGGGGCAAAAGGAAGCCTCTGCATTCTTGTCAAATATGTAAACAGCATGTTTTTGCAGGTGCTAAAAAACAGACTCTGAGTGTGTGTGTGTGTGTGTGTGTGTATGTTGGCGTGTGTGTATATGTGTGTGTATCCTGCAGTACTCTGTACTCCTGCAGTGGCCAAAAAGACTTTTAAGAATGTGGATTTTTGGGTCATCTTTGGCGCCCCCTAGAACTGCAGTACTCTGTACTCCTGCAGTGGCCAAAATGACTTTTAAGAATGTGGATTTTTGGGTCATCTTTGGCGCCCCCTAGAACTGCAGTACTCTGTACTCCTGCAGTGGCCAAAATGACTTTTAAGAATGTGGATTTTTGGGTCATCTTTGGCGCCCCCTAGAACGTAAACCGTGGGGTGCAGCGTCATGATTTTTACAACTTTGAATGGGCATGGGGTGTAGATTGCCCTGAGCAAATTTGGTATCGGTGGGACGAAAGCCTTAGGAGGAGATAGCCACATTCCAATGTGTGCGAATCGGCAAAAAATGCAAAATAGCCCTTTAACCGTACATTATACAGATACGCGCTCTTTGACTTTTTCGTAGATCTAATTGAGATACACATGATTGTCAATTTTTGTGTCAATATGACAAAGCGTTCAGGCGTGACACTCAACAATGTGTATTTTCATGTAAGGGGACAAGAAAAAATTGACTTTTTTCTCCTACCATGGGGGGGCGCTCTTTTGGGGAGTAAAAATTCCTTCACAAATGTGTTGATGGCTGGACATTGCATCATCCTAGAAAACTTGGAGGCCAGTGAGGACAAAAATAAAAAGTTATAAAACATTTAAGAATGTGGATTTTTGGGTTATTTTTGGCGCCCCCTAGAACCTAAACCATGGGGTGCAGCATCATGATTTGAATAACTTTTAATGGCCATGGGGTGTAGATTGGCCTGAGCAAATGTGGTGCCGGTGGAACGAAAGCCTTCGGAGGAGTTAGCGAAATTCCAATGTGTGCGTATCGGCAAAAAATGCAGAATAACCCTTTAACTGTACATTTGACAGATACGCGCGCATGGACTTTTTTGTAGATCTTATTGAGTTACATGTGTGTGTCAATTTTTGTGTCATTTTGACAAAGCGTATAGGCGTGACACTCAACAATGTGTATTTTCACCTTAGGGGACAAGAAAAAATTGACTTTTTTCTCCTGCCATGGGGGGGCGCTCTTTTGGGGAGTAAAAATTCCTTCACAAATGTGTTGATGGCTGGACATTGCATCATCCTAGAAAACTTGGAGGCCAGTGAGGACAAAAATAAAAAGTTATAAGACTTTTAAATATGTGGATTTTAGTGTTATCTTTGGCGCCCCCTAGAACCTAAACCTTGGGGTGCAGCGTCATGATTTTGATAAACTTTTAATGGCCACGGGGTGTAGATTGGCCTGAGCAAATGTGGTGCCGGTGGAACGAAAGCCTTCGGAGGAGTTAGCGAAATTCCAATGTGTGCGGATCGGAAAAAAATGCGAAATAACCCTTTAACCGTACATTTGACAGATACGGCCGCACTGACTTTTTTGTAGATCTTATTGAGATACATATGTGTGTCAATTTTTGTGTCAATATGACAAAGCGTACAGGCGTGACAGTCAATAGTGTGAATTTCTACCTTAGGGGGCGCTATGGAGCCATTTTGCATTTTATTGTTTGGGCGACTTCAGAATATCAAATTTTTCACCAGGCCCGGTCGTCCTGCCAAATTTCATGAGTTTTCGCCAGTGGGAAGTGGGCCATTTTCCAGTTCAAAGGGGAGGAAAAAGAAAAAAGAAAGAAAGAAACAAAGAAAAACCACTTGGGGAATAATAGGGCCTACGCCCGGCTGCTCTGCAGCTGGCTCGGGCCCTAAAGAAGGAAACTACAGGAACAAGAGGGCTCTCGCAGCTGCTTAGCAGCTACGCTCGGGCCCTAACTAGGACCCCGTTGGGGCACTGGCGGGCCCGAGCCGTGTCGCGTCCCCCCCCCCCCCCCCCCAACGTGCTGCCTCCCCGTCCCATTTGTGTCCTCTGGCCATCGCCCTCTCTGGTAACGCCCATCACTGCAAAGACCCTTTTCCTTCATCGGCGTTTGCTGTTCTTCCTGCCAGTGCGTGTTGCTTTCACTTACACTTGCCACAGCCAGCCTCGTGAGTGCCTAGCCTATTGGATATCACTGTCACCTACACAGGACAGTCATTACCTTTCTATTAATACTTTGTGTTTTAATTTCACATTAATTTCCATATTGTATAAACGACTGGAAAAAACTTGAGCCCCTGCCCCTGTATAATCATGTGCATGTCTCTGTTCTAGCTCCAAGGTGAATCTTCACTGCTCATGTTCTCCTCAGAAGCACTCACCTCACTCCCCTCAGGTTACTGTACACATGCACCAACTGCCTGCTTCAGGTTTGGATGGAGCTTCATGGTTGTCTTTTGGAGAAATGACCAGTCAAGTTGTGTTTGAAATTTGATTTTTTTCAGGGGCAAAAGGAGCCTCTGCATTCTTGTCAAATATGTAAATAGCATGTTTTTGCAGGTGCTAAAAACCAGACTCTGAGTGTGTGTGTGTGTGTGTGTGTGTGTCTGTGTGTGCGTGTGTGTGTGTCTGTGTGTGCGTTCAAGTCACATGACATATTTAATCGGATGTAGCTGCAAGACGGAGCCTCGTTGACTCTCCGTTTCAACTTATCTCAAAAGTGAGGACCTCAACCTATATACCAGTTTTTAAATTGTGTTGATAGGCCAAATAAAACCAGAGTTATGATAAATTATGTCCGCGATACTTTTTTTCTGCTTATTTTGATCACGTTCGGCGCTCGATCGCGCTGTATGAGACAGGAAAACATAGCATGCAGACATTAGCGACAGGTCTTACAGGCGGAAAAGGCTTGCCAAAAGAAAAAAAAACACACCACAACATCTCTCCTATTGGTGGAAAACTTCACCACAACAACCAATCCAAAATTATATGGTGACTGATTGACAAGGGGCGGGCGCTTACGTTCTTCCTGCAACATGAGAGAGGGAGGGAGGGACTCTCAGCAGGGATGCAGTCTGGGACACGTAGTTGCAAACCTAGCGACTTTGTTGTTAGATTCAATGACTTTTCAGACCCCCTAACGACTTTTTTTTAGAAAGAAAGGGACTTTTATCGACTTCTTCTGGAGTTTAGAGACTCTGACATGAAGCAGGCTTTCCTTACTGAGGAGTTAGCAACGCTGCTAAGGGTGCAGAGCCACACATGCGCTCAGAGCTCTGCATGGGAGACTGAAGCTGACAGAGCTGCAGCAGTTAGCAGGTTTCACCCTCAGAGACCACCAGGGGTTCATGTTGAGGCATTTTAAAAAATTTTTTTTTTGTGCCATAGACACTGTCAGCACAATCTGCAGTTACACTAACAAAAATGCTGCAAAAAACAAAGAATTATGGAAAAATTACACATGGACTGACATAGAGGAGGATCTACACAAGTTTTTTACATCATGTTTTACATCATGCATCATTTACATCATGTTTTTTTGTAGTGGCATAAATAAAAAGTGACATTTGTGAGACTATACAGTGTTTTGTAAATAATATTACAAAGAACGCCTGGGCCATTGCCTGCATTTTGATGAAAATAGAGGTAAATCACTATGTTCTTTGTTAAAAATTTGCATATGTTTTGAAGTTTACAATTTTTATTTGAAGTTTAAGTTTTAAAAACAGTTCATCACACATATTTGTGGTTTTCACAGTAAAAATGTTACTTTTTTCCACTCGGATTTTATGTTTTGTGTGTGAATTTGGGTCCATTGTGTAAATTCAGTATGTCAACATGATAAAATAACTGTAAATTCGTACAGGTGAGGTTGTGCTGAAAAAAATGATACCAGGCAAGGCACGTGATTGTCAAATTTTGTGTCAATATGACAAAGCGTATAGGCGTGAATCTCAACAATATGTATTTTCACCTTAGGGGACAAGAAAAAATGGACTTTTTTCTCCTGCCATGGGGGGGCGCTCTTTTGGGGAGTAAAAATTCCTTCACAAATGTGTTGATGGCTGGACATTGCATCATCCTAGAAAACTTGGAGGCCAGTGAGGACAAAAATAAAAAGTTATAAGACTTTTAAATATGTGGATGTTAGGGTTATCTTTGGCGCCCCCTAGAACCTAAACCGTGGGGTGCAGCGTCATGATTTGAATAACTTTTAATGGCCATGGGGTGTAGATTGTCCTGAGCAAATGTGGTGCCGGTGGAACGAAAGCCTTCGGAGGAGTTAGCGAAATTCCAATGTGTGCGGATCGGCAAAAAATGCGGAATAACCCTTTAACCGTACATTTGACAGATACGCGCGAATTGACTTTTTCGTAGATCTTATTGAGTTACATGTGTGTGTCAATTTTTGTGTCATTTTGACAAAGCGTATAGGCGTGACACTCAACAATGTGTATTTTCACCTTAGGGGACAAGAAAAAATGGACTTTTTTCTCCTGCCATGGGGGGCGCTCTTTTGGGGAGTAAAAATTCCTTCACAAATGTGTTGATGGCTGGACATTGCATCATCCTAGAAAACTTGGAGGCCAGTGAGGACAAAAATAAAAAGTTATAAGACTTTTAAATATGTGGATTTGAGTGTTATCTTTGGCGCCCCCTAGAACCTAAACCTTGGGGTGCAGCGTCATGATTTTGATAACTTTTAATGGCCACGGGGTGTAGATTGGCCTGAGCAAATGTGGTGCCGGTGGAACGAAAGCCTTCGGAGGAGTTAGCGAAATTCCAATGTGTGCGGATCGGCAAAAAATGCGAAATAACCCTTTAACCGTACATTTGACAGATACGGCCGCACTGACTTTTTTGTAGATCTTATTGAGATACATATGTGTGTCAATTTTTGTGTCATTTTGACAAAGCGTAAAGGCGTGACAGTCAATAGTGTGAATTTTCACCTTAGGGGGCGCTATGGAGCCATTTTGCATTTTATTGTTTGGCCGACTTCAGAATATCGAATTTTTCACCAGGCCCGGTCGTCCTGCCAAATTTCATGAGTTTTCGCCAGTGGGAAGTGGGCCATTTTCCAGTTCAAAGGGGAGGAAAAAGAAGAAACTAGGGCCCCGGTGGGGCACTGTCGGGCCCGAGCCGCGTTGCGCCGCCCCCAGCGCGACCGCCTCCCCCTCCCGATCGCGTCACACTCAAGGTCCAAAGATGGTGTGCGCACTTGTCTGTGGTCATTTCCCATTATAATGAATGGGAGGCGCAGTTTCTACCAAAACACTCGCTGCAGACAAACTACATGTCCTATTTGAAAAAAGTCTGGACCATGAGTGAGGGCACAAACACAGCTAGGATATATCCAAACGGCAAGTTGCTCCTTGTTACGGTGTTGCCGGGAGAGTGATGCGATTGAGCCATTGAGTGATGGGCAGGAAAAACTTGACTGTTTCTCCTGCCATGGGGGTTGGGGGATGGGGGGGGGGGGGATGTGGATTCTTTTAAGAATGTGGATATTTGGGTCATCTTTGGCGCCCCCTAGAACGTAAACCGTGGGGTGCAGCGTCATGATTTTTACAACTTTGAATGGCCATGGGGTGTAGATTGGCCTGAGCAAATTTGGTGTCAGTGGGACGAAAGCCTTAGGAGGAGTTAGCCACATTCCAATGTGTGCGAATCGGCAAAAAATGCAAAATAGCCCTTTAACCGTACATTTTACAGATACGCGCGCATTGACTTTTTCGTAGATCTTATTGAGATACATGTGATTGTCAAATTTTGTGTCAATATGACAAAGCGTACAGGTATGACAGTCAACAATGTGTTTTTTCACCTTATGGGACAAGAAAAAATTGACTTTTTTCTCCTGCCATGGGGGGGGCGCTCTTTTGGGGAGTAAAAATTCCTTCACAAATGTGTTGATGGCTGGACATTGCATCATCCTAGAAAACTTGGAGGCCAGTGAGGACAAAAATAAAAAGTTATAAGACTTTGAAATATGTGGATTTTAGGGTTATCTTTGGCGCCCCCTAGAACCTAAACCGTGGGGTGCAGCGTCATGATTTGAATAACTTTTAATGGCCATGGGGTGTAGATTGGCCTGAGCAAATGTGGTGCCGGTGGAACGCCAGCCTTAGGAGGAGTTAGCAAAATTCCAATGTGTGCGGATCAGCAAAAAATGCGGAATAACCCTTTAACCGTACATTTGACAGATACGCACGCATTGACTTTTTCGTAGATCTTATTGAGATACATGTGTGTGTCAAATTTTGTGTCAATATGACAAAGCGTACAGGCGTGACACTCAACAATGTGTATTTTCACCTTAGGGGACAAGAAAAAATTGACTTTTTTCTCCTGCCATGGGGGGGCGCTCTTTTGGGGATTAAAAATTCCTTCACAAATGTGTTGATGGCTGGACATTGCATCATCCTAGAAAACTTGGAGGCCAGTGAGGTCAAAAATAAAAAGTTATAAGACTTTTAAATATGTGGATTTTAGGGTTATCTTTGGCGCCCCCTAGAACCTAAACCGTGGGGTGCAGCGTCATGATTTGAATAACTTTTAATGGCCATGGGGTGTAGATTGGCCTGAGCAAATGTGGTGCCGGTGGAACGAAAGTCTTCGGAGGAGTTAGCGAAATTCCAATGTGTGTGGGTCGGCAAAAAATGCGCAATAACCCTTTAACCGTACATTTGACAGATACGCCCGCACTGAGTTTTTTGTAGATCTTATTGAGATACATGTGTGTGTCAATTTTTGTGTCAATATGACAAAGCGTAAAGGCGTGACAGTCAATAGTGTGAATTTTCACCTTAGGGGGCGCTATGGAGCCATTTTGCATTTTCTTGTTTGGGCGACTTCGGAATATCAAATTTTTCACCAGGCCCGGTCATCCTGCCAAATTTCATGAGTTTTCGCCAGTGGGAAGTGGGCCATTTTCCAGTTCAAAGGGGAGGAAAAAGAAGAAAGAAAGAAACAAAGAAAAACCCCTTGGGGAATAATAGGGCTCTCGCAGCTGCTTAGCAGCTACGCTCGGGCCCTAACTAGGACCCCGTTGGGGCACTGGCGGGCCCGAGCTGTGTCGCGTCCCCCCCCCAACGCGCTGCCTCCCCGTCCCATTTGTGTCCTCTGGCCATCGCCCTCTTTGGTAACGCCCATCACTGCAAAGACCCTTTTCCTTCATCGGCGTTTGCTGTTCTTCCTGCCAGTGCGTGTTGCTTTCACTTACACTTGCCACAGCCAGCCTCGTGAGTGCCTAGCCTATTGGATATCACTGTCACCTACACAGGACAGTCATTACCTTTCTATTAATACTTTGTTTTTTAATTTCACATTAATTTCCAAATTGTATAAACGACTGGAAAAAACTTGAGCCCCTGCCCCTGTATAATCATGTGCACGTCTCTGTTCTAGCTCTAAGGTAAATCTTCACTGCTCATGTTCTCCTCAGAAGCAGTCACCTCACTCCCCTCAGGTTACTGTACACATGCACCAACTGCCTGCTTCAGGTTTGGATGGAGCTTCATGGTTGTCTTTTGGAGAAATGACCAGTCAAGTTGTGTTTGAAATTTGATTTTTTTCAGGGGCAAAAGGAGCCTCTGCATTCTTGTCAAATATGTAAATAGCATGTTTTTGCAGGTGCTACAAACCAGACTCTGAGTGTGTGTGTGTGCGTGTGTGTGTGTGTCTGTGTGTGTGTGTGTGTGTGTGTGTGCGCGTTCAAGTCACATGACATATTTAACCGGATGTAGCTGCAAGACAGAGCCTCGTTGACTCTCCGTTTCAATTTATCTCAAAAGTGAGGACCTCAACCTATATACCAGTTTTTAAATTGTGTTGATAGGCCAAATAAAACCAGAGTTATGATAAATTATGTCCGCGATCCTTGTTTTCTGCTTATTTTGATCACGTTCGGCGCTCGATCGCGCTGTATGAGACAGGAAAACATAGCATGCAGACATTAGCGACAGGTCTTACAGGCGGAAAAGGCTTGCCAAAGGAAAAAAAATACACACCACAACATCTCTCCTATTGGTGGAAAACTTCACCACAACAACCAATCCAAAATTATATGGTGACTGATTGACAAGGGGCGGGAACTTACGTTCTTCCTGCAATATGAGAAGGGAGGGAGGGACTCTCAGCAGGGATGCAGTCTGGGACACGTAGTTGCAAACCTAGCGACTTTGTTGTTAGATTCAATGACTTTTCAGACCCCCTAACGACTTTTTTTTAGAAAGAAAGTGACTTTTATCGACTTCTTCTGGAGTTTAGAGACTCTGACATGAAGCAGGCTTTCCTTACTGAGGAGTTAGCAACGCTGCTAAGGGTGCAGAGCCACACATGCGCTCCGAGCTCTGCATGGGAGACTGAAGCTGACAGAGCTGCAGCAGTTAGCAGGTTTCACCCTCAGAGACCACCAGGGGTTCATGTTGAGGCATTTTCAGTTTTTTTTTTTTTTTTTTTGCCATAGACACTGTCAGCACAATCTGCAGTTACACTAACAAAAATGCTGCAAAAAACAAAGAATTATGGAAAAATTACACATGGACTAACATAGAGGAGGATCTACACAAGTTTTTTACATCATGTTTTACATCATGCATCATTTACATCATGTTTTTTTGTAGTGGCATAAATAAAAAGTGACATTTGTGAGACTATACAGTGTTTTGTAAATAATTTTACAAAGAACACCTGGGCCATTGCCTGCATTTTGATGTCAATAGAGGTAAATTACTATGTTCTTTGTTAAAAATTTGCATATGTTTTGAAGTTTACAATTTTTATTTGAAGTTTAAGTTTTAAAAACAGTTCATCACACATATTTGTGGTTTAATTTCACATTAATTTCCATATTGTATAAATGACTGGAAAAAACTTGAGCCCCTGCCCCTGTATAATCATGTGCACGTCCCTGTTCTAGCTCCAAGGTGAATCTTCACCGCTCATGTTCTCCTCAGAAATAGTCACCTCACTCCCCTCAGGTTACTGTACACATGCACCAACTATCTGCTTCAGGTTTGAAATGGAGCTTCATGGTTGTCTTTTGGAGAAATGAACAGTCAAGTTGTGTTTGAAATTTGATTTTTTTCAGGGGCAAAAGGAAGCCTCTGCATTCTTGTCAAATATGTAAACAGCATGTTTTTGCAGGTGCTAAAAAACAGACTCTGAGTGTGTGTGTGTGTCTGTGTGTGTGTGTGTGTGTGTGTGTGTGTGTGTGTGTGTGTGTGTGTGTGTGTGTGTGTGTGTGTGTATGTTGGCGTGTGTGTATATGTGTGTGTATCCTGCAGTACTCTGTACTCCTGCAGTGGCCAAAAAGACTTTTAAGAATGTGGATTTTTGGGTCATCTTTGGCGCCCCCTAGAACTGCAGTACTCTGTACTCCTGCAGTGGCCAAAATGACTTTTAAGAATGTGGATTTTTGGGTCATCTTTGGCGCCCCCTAGAACGTAAACCGTGGGGTGCAGCGTCATGATTTTTACAACTTTGAATGGTCATGGGGTGTAGATTGCCCTGAGCAAATTTGGTATCGGTGGGACGAAAGCCTTAGGAGGAGATAGCCACATTCCAATGTGTGCGAATCGGCAAAAAATGCAAAATAGCCCTTTAACCGTACATTATACAGATACGCGCTCTTTGACTTTTTCGTAGATCTAATTGAGATACACATGATTGTCAATTTTTGTGTCAATATGACAAAGCGTTCAGGCGTGACACTCAACAATGTGTATTTTTATGTAAGGGGACAAGAAAAAATTGACTTTTTTCTCCTACCATGGGGGGGCGCTCTTTTGGGGAGTAAAAATTCCTTCACAAATGTGTTGATGGCTGGACATTGCATCATCCTAGAAAACTTGGAGGCCAGTGAGGACAAAAATAAAAAGTTATAAAACATTTAAGAATGTGGATTTTTGGGTTATTTTTGGCGCCCCCTAGAACCTAAACCATGGGGTGCAGCATCATGATTTGAATAACTTTTAATGGCCATGGGGTGTAGATTGGCCTGAGCAAATGTGGTGCCGGTGGAACGAAAGCCTTCGGAGGAGTTAGCGAAATTCCAATGTGTGCGTATCGGCAAAAAATGCGGAATAACCCTTTAACTGTACATTTGACAGATACGCGCGCATGGACTTTTTTGTAGATCTTATTGAGTTACATGTGTGTGTCAATTTTTGTGTCATTTTGACAAAGCATATAGGCGTGACACTCAACAATGTGTATTTTCACCTTAGGGGACAAGAAAAAATGGACTTTTTTCTCCTGCCATGGGGGGGCGCTCTTTTGGGGAGTAAAAATTCCTTCACAAATGTGTTGATGGCTGGACATTGCATCATCCTAGAAAACTTGGAGCCCAGTGAGGACAAAAATAAAAAGTTATAAGACTTTTAAATATGTGGATTTTAGTGTTATCTTTGGCGCCCCCTAGAACCTAAACCTTGGGGTGCAGCGTCATGATTTTGATAACTTTTAATGGCCACGGGGTGTAGATTGGCCTGAGCAAATGTGGTGCCGGTGGAACGAAAGCCTTCGGAGGAGTTAGCGAAATTCCAATGTGTGCGGATCGGAAAAAAATGCGAAATAACCCTTTAACCGTAATTTTGACAGATACGGCTGCACTGACTTTTTTGTAGATCTTATTGAGATACATATGTGTGTCAATTTTTGTGTCAATATGACAAAGCGTACAGGCGTGACAGTCAATAGTGTGAATTTCCACCTTAGGGGGCGCTATGGAGCCATTTTGCATTTTATTGTTTGGGCGACTTCAGAATATCGAATTTTTCACCAGGCCCGGTCGTCCTGCCAAATTTCATGAGTTTTCGCCAGTGGGAAGTGGGCCATTTTCCAGTTCAAAGGGGAGGAAAAAGAAGAACTAGGACCCCGTTGGGGCACTGGCGGGCCCGAGCTCTGTCGCGTCCCCCCCCCCAACGCGCTGCCTCCCCGTCCCATTTGTGTCCTCTGGCCATCGCCCTCTCTGGTAACGCCCATCACTGCAAAGACCCTTTTCCTTCATCGGCGTTTGCTGTTCTTCCTGCCAGTGCGTGTTGCTTTCACTTACACTTGCCACAGCCAGCCTCGTGAGTGCCTAGCCTATTGGATATCACTGTCACCTACACAGGACAGTCATTACCTTTCTATTAATACTTTGTTTTTTAATTTCACATTAATTTCCATATTGTATAAACAACTGGAAAAAACTTGAGCCCCTGCCCCTGTATAATCATGTGCACGTCTCTGTTCTAGCTCTAAGGTGAATCTTCACTGCTCATGTTCTCCTCAGAAGCAGTCACCTCACTCCCCTCAGGTTACTGTACACATGCACCAACTGCCTGCTTCAGGTTTGGATGGAGCTTCATGGTTGTCTTTTGGAGAAATGACCAGTCAAGTTGTGTTTGAAATTTGATTTTTTTCAGGGGCAAAAGGAGCCTCTGCATTCTTGTCAAATATGTAAATAGCATGTTTTTGCAGGTGCTAAAAACCAGACTCTGAGTGTGTGTGTGTGCGTGTGTTTGTGTGTGTGTGTGTGTGTGTGTGTGTGTGTGTGCGTTCAAGTCACATGACATATTTAACCGGATGTAGCTGCAAGACGGAGCCTCGTTGACTCTCCGTTTCAATTTATCTCAAAAGTGAGGACCTCAACCTATATACCAGTTTTTAAATTGTGTTGATAGGCCAAATAAAACCAGAGTTATGATAAATTATGTCCACGATACTTGTTTTCTGCTTATTTTGATCACGTTCGGCGCTCGATCGCGCTGTATGAGACAGGAAAACATAGCATGCAGACATTAGCGACAGGTCTTACAGGCGGAAAAGGCTTGCCAAAGGAAAAAAAAAAACACACCACAACATCTCTCCTATTGGTGGAAAACTTCACCACAACAACCAATCCAAAATTATATGGTGACTGATTGACAAGGGGCGGGCGCTTACGTTCTTCCTGCAATATGAGAAGGGAGGGAGGGACTCTCAGCAGGGATGCAGTCTGGGACACGTAGTTGCAAACCTAGCGACTTTGTTGTTAGATTCAATGACTTTTCAGACCCCCTAACGACTTTTTTAGAAAGAAAGTGACTTTTATCGACTTCTTCTGGAGTTTAGAGACTCTGACATGAAGCAGGCTTTCCTTACTGAGGAGTTAGCAACGCTGCTAAGGGTGCAGAGCCACACATGCGCTCCGAGCTCTGCATGGGAGACTGAAGCTGACAGAGCTGCAGCAGTTAGCAGGTTTCACCCTCAGAGACCACCAGGGGTTCATGTTGAGGCATTTTCAGTTTTTTTTTTTTTTTTTGCCATAGACACTGTCAGCACAATCTGCAGTTACACTAACAAAAATGCTGCAAAAAACAAAGAATTATGGAAAAATTACACACGGACTAACATAGAGGAGGATCTACACAAGTTTTTTACATCATGTTTTACATCATGCATCATTTACATCATGTTTTTTTGTAGTGGCATAAATAAAAAGTGACATTTGTGAGACTATACAGTGTTTTGTAAATAATTTTACAAAGAACACCTGGGCCATTGCCTGCATTTTGATGTAAATAGAGGTAAATTACTATGTTCTTTGTTAAAAATTTGCATATGTTTTGAAGTTTACAATTTTTATTTGAAGTTTAAGTTTTAAAAACCGTTCATCACACATATTTGTGGTTTTCACAGTAAAAACGTTACTTTTTTCCACTCGGATTTTATGTTTTGTGTGTGAATTTGGGTCCAATGTGTAAATATAGTATGTCAAAATGATAAAATAACTGTAAATTGACACAGGTGAGGTTGTGCTGAAAAAAATGATACCAGGCAAGGCAAGGTAAAAATTTTGTAAGAGGAAATATAAAGGTAAAATCTAAAGTAGTCAAAAACGGCCAATAGTGACTCACAGACTCCACAGACAAGTCCCTTTGGCGCCACTCAGTGGGCAAAACTACTTTGTCTACTGTAATGTATATTTGGGTCATCTTTGGCGCCCCCTAAAACGTAAACCGTGGGGTGCAGCGTCATGATTTTTACAACTTTGAATGGCCATGGAGTGTAGATTGGCCTGAGCAAATTTGGTGTCAGTGGGACGAAAGCCTTAGGAGGAGTTAGCGAAATTCCAATGTGTGCGAATCGGCAAAAAATGCAAAATAGCCCTTTTACCGTACATTATACAGATACGCGCTCTTTGACTTTTTCGTAGATCTAATTGAGATACACATGATTGTCAATTTTTGTGTCATTTTGCCAAAGCGTACAGGCGTGACAGTCAACAATGTGTATTTTCACCTTAGGGGACAAGAAAAAATGGACTTTTTTCTCCTGCCATGGGGGGGCGCTCTTTTAGGGAGTAAAAATTCCTTCACAAATGTGTTGATGGCTGGACATTGCATCATCCTAGAAAACTTGGAGGCCAGTGAGGACAAAAATAAAAAGTTATAAGACTTTTAAAAATGTGGATTTTTGGGTTATCTTTGGCGCCCCCTAGAACGTAAACCGTGGGGTGCAGCGTCATGATTTGAATAACTTTTAATGGCCATGGGGTGTAGATTGGCCTGAGCAAATGTGGTGCCGGTGGAACGAAAGCCTTCGGAGGAGTTAGCGAAATTCCAATGTGTGCGAATCGGCAAAAAATGCGGAATAACCCTTTAACCGTACATTTGACAGATACGCGCGCATGGACTTTTTTGTAGATCTTATTGAGATACATGTGTGTGTCAATTTTTGTGTCATTTTGACAAAGCGTACAGGCGTGACACTCAACAATGTGTATTTTCACCTTAGGGGACAAGAAAAAATGGACTTTTTTCTCCTGCCATGGGGGGCGCTCTTTTGGGGAGTAAAAATTCCTTCACAAATGTGTTGATGGCTGGACATTGCATCATCCTAGAAAACTTGGAGGCCAGTGAGGGCAAAAATAAAAAGTTATAAGACTTTTAAATATGTGGATTTTAGGGTTATCTTTGGCGCCCCCTAGAACCTAAACCGTGGGGTGCAGCGTCATGATTTGAATAACTTTTAATGGCCATGGGGTGTAGATTGGCCTGAGCAAATGTGGTGCCGGTGGAACGAAAGCCTTCAAAGGAGTTAGCGAAATTCCAATGTGTGCGGATCGGCAAAAAATGCGAAATAACCCTTTAACCGTACATTTGACAGATACGCCCGCACTGACTTTTTTGTAGATCTTATTGAGATACATGTGTGTGTCAAATTTTGTGTCATTTTGACAAAGCGTACAGGTGTGACACTCAATAGTGTGAATTTTCACCTTAGGGGGCGCTATGGAGCCATTTTGCATTTTCTTGTTTGGGCGACTTCGGAATATCAAATTTTTCACCAGGCCCGGTCGTCCTGCCAAATTTCATGAGTTTTCGCCAGTGGGAAGTGGGCCATTTTCCAGTTCAAAGGGGAGGAAAAAGAAACTAGGACCCCGTTGGGGCACTGGCGGGCCCGAGCCGTGTCGCGTCCCCCCCCAACGTGCTGCCTCCCCGTCCCATTTGTGTCCTCTGGCCATCGCCCTCTCTGGTAACGCCCATCACTGCAAAGACCCTTTTCCTTCATCGGCGTTTGCTGTTCTTCCTGCCAGTGCGTGTTGCTTTCACTTACACTTGCCACAGCCAGCCTCGTGAGTGCCTAGCCTATTGGATATCACTGTCACCTACACAGGACAGTCATTACCTTTCTATTAATACTTTGTGTTTTAATTTCACATTAATTTCCATATTGTATAAACGACTGGAAAAAACTTGAGCCCCTGCCCCTGTATAATCATGTGCATGTCTCTGTTCTAGCTCCAAGGTGAATCTTCACTGCTCATGTTCTCCTCAGAAGCACTCACCTCACTCCCCTCAGGTTACTGTACACATGCACCAACTGCCTGCTTCAGGTTTGGATGGAGCTTCATGGTTGTCTTTTGGAGAAATGACCAGTCAAGTTGTGTTTGAAATTTGATTTTTTTCAGGGGCAAAAGGAGCCTCTGCATTCTTGTCAAATATGTAAATAGCATGTTTTTGCAGGTGCTAAAAACCAGACTCTGAGTGTGTGTGTGTGTGTGTGTGTGTGCGTGTGTGTGTGTCTGTGTGTGCGTTCAAGTCACATGACATATTTAACCGGATGTAGCTGCAAGACAGAGCCTCGTTGACTCTCCGTTTCAACTTATCTCAAAAGTGAGGACCTCAACCTATATACCAGTTTTTAAATTGTGTTGATAGGCCAAATAAAACCAGAGTTATGATAAATTATGTCCGCGATACTTTTTTTCTGCTTATTTTGATCACGTTCGGCGCTCGATCGCGCTGTATGAGACAGGAAAACATAGCATGCAGACATTAGCGACAGGTCTTACAGGCGGAAAAGGCTTGCCAAAAGAAAAAAAAAACACACCACAACATCTCTCCTATTGGTGGAAAACTTCACCACAACAACCAATCCAAAATTATATGGTGACTGATTGACAAGGGGCGGGCGCTTACGTTCTTCCTGCAACATGAGAAGCGAGGGAGGGACTCTCAGCAGGGATGCAGTCTGGGACACGTAGTTGCAAACCTAGCGACTTTGTTGTTAGATTCAATGACTTTTCAGACCCCCTAACGACTTTTTTTTAGAAAGAAAGGGACTTTTATCGACTTCTTCTGGAGTTTAGAGACTCTGACATGAAGCAGGCTTTCCTTACTGAGGAGTTAGCAACGCTGCTAAGGGTGCAGAGCCACACATGCGCTCAGAGCTCTGCATGGGAGACTGAAGCTGACAGAGCTGCAGCAGTTAGCAGGTTTCACCCTCAGAGACCACCAGGGGTTCATGTTGAGGCATTTTAATTTTTTTTTTTTTTTGTGCCATAGACACTGTCAGCACAATCTGCAGTTACACTAACAAAAATGCTGCAAAAAACAAAGAATTATGGAAAAATTACACATGGACTGACATAGAGGAGGATCTACACAAGTTTTTTACATCATGTTTTACATCATGCATCATTTACATCATGTTTTTTTGTAGTGGCATAAATAAAAAGTGACATTTGTGAGACTATACAGTGTTTTGTAAATAATTTTACAAAGAACGCCTGGGCCATTGCCTGCATTTTGATGTAAATAGAGGTAAATCACTATGTTCTTTGTTAAAAATTTGCATATGTTTTGAAGTTTACAATTTTTATTTGAAGTTTAAGTTTTAAAAACAGTTCATCACACATATTTGTGGTTTTCACAGTAAAAATGTTACTTTTTTCCACTCGGATTTTATGTTTTGTGTGTGAATTTGGGTCCATTGTGTAAATTCAGTATGTCAACATGATAAAATAACTGTAAATTCGCACAGGTGAGGTTGTGCGGAAAAAAATGATACCAGGCAAGGCACGTGATTGTCAAATTTTGTGTCAATATGACAAAGCGTATAGGCGTGAATCTCAACAATATGTATTTTCACCTTAGGGGACAAGAAAAAATGGACTTTTTTCTCCTGCCATGGGGGGCGCTCTTTTGGGGAGTAAAAATTCCTTCACAAATGTGTTGATGGCTGGACATTGCATCATCCTAGAAAACTTGGAGGCCAGTGAGGACAAAAATAAAAAGTTATAAGACTTTTAAATATGTGGATTTTAGGGTTATCTTTGGCGCCCCCTAGAACCTAAACCGTGGGGTGCAGCGTCATGATTTGAATAACTTTTAATGGCCATGGGGTGTAGATTGGCCTGAGCAAATGTGGTGCCGGTGGAACGAAAGCCTTAGGAGGAGTTAGCCACATTCCAATGTGTGCGGATCGGCAAAAAATGCGGAATAACCCCTTAACCGTACATTTGACAGATACGCGCGCATTGACTTTTTCGTAGATCTTATTGAGTTACATGTGTGTGTCAATTTTTGTGTCATTTTGACAAAGCGTATAGGCGTGACACTCAACAATGTGTATTTTCACCTTAGGGGACAAGAAAAAATGGACTTTTTTCTTCTGCCATGGGGGGGGCGCTCTTTTGGGGAGTAAAAATTCCTTCACAAATGTGTTGATGGCTGGACATTGCATCATCCTAGAAAACTTGGAGGCCAGTGAGGACAAAAATAAAAAGTTATAAGACTTTTAAATATGTGGATTTTAGTGTTATCTTTGGCGCCCCCTAGAACCTAAACCTTGGGGTGCAGCGTCATGATTTTGATAACTTTTAATGGCCACGGGGTGTAGATTGGCCTGAGCAAATGTGGTGCCGTTGGAACGAAAGCCTTCGGAGGAGTTAGCGAAATTCCAATGTGTGCGGATCGGCAAAAAATGCGAAATAACCCTTTAACCGTAATTTTGACAGATACGGCCGCACTGACTTTTTTGTAGATCTTATTAAGATACATATGTGTGTCAATTTTTGTGTCAATATGACAAAGCGTACAGGCGTGACAGTCAATAGTGTGAATTTCCACCTTAGGGGGCGCTATGGAGCCATTTTGCATTTTATTGTTTGGGCGACTTCAGAATATCGAATTTTTCACCAGGCCCGGTCGTCCTGCCAAATTTCATGAGTTTTCGCCAGTGGGAAGTGGGCCATTTTCCAGTTCAAAGGGGAGGAAAAAGAAGAAAGAAAGAAAGAAAGAAAGAAAGAAAGAAACAAAGAAAAACCACTTGGGGAATAATAGGGCTCTCGCAGCTGCTTAGCAGCTACGCTCGGGCCCTAAAGAAAGAAAGAACTAGGACCCCGTTGGGGCACTGGCGGGCCCGAGCCGTGTCGCGTCCCCCCCCCCGTCCCCCCCCCCCCAACGTGCTGCCTTCCCGTCCCATTTGTGTCCTCTGGCCATCGCCCTCTCTGGTAACGCCCATCACTGCAAAGACCCTTTTCCTTCATCGGCGTTTGCTGTTCTTCCTGCCAGTGCGTGTTGCTTTCACTTACACTTGCCACAGCCAGCCTCGTGAGTGCCTAGCCTATTGGATATCACTGTCACCTACACAGGACAGTCATTACCTTTCTATTAATACTTTGTGTTTTAATTTCACATTAATTTCCATATTGTATAAACGACTGGAAAAAACTTGAGCCCCTGCCCCTGTATAATCATGTGCATGTCTCTGTTCTAGCTCCAAGGTGAATCTTCACTGCTCATGTTCTCCTCAGAAGCACTCACCTCACTCCCCTCAGGTTACTGTACACATGCACCAACTGCCTGCTTCAGGTTTGGATGGAGCTTCATGGTTGTCTTTTGGAGAAATGACCAGTCAAGTTGTGTTTGAAATCTGATTTTTTTCAGGGGCAAAAGGAGCCTCTGCATTCTTGTCAAATATGTAAATAGCATGTTTTTGCAGGTGCTAAAGACCAGACTCTGAGTGTGTGTGTGTGTGTGTGTGTGTGTGTGTGCGTGTGTGTGTGTCTGTGTGTGCGTTCAAGTCACATGACATATTTAACCGGATGTAGCTGCAAGACGGAGCCTCGTTGACTCTCCGTTTCAACTTATCTCAAAAGTGAGGACCTCAACCTATATACCAGTTTTTAAATTGTGTTGATAGGCCAAATAAAACCAGAGTTATGATAAATTATGTTGGCGATACTTTTTTTCTGCTTATTTTGATCACGTTCGGCGCTCGATCGCGCTGTATGAGACAGGAAAACATAGCATGCAGACATTAGCGACAGGTCTTACAGGCGGAAAAGGCTTGCCAAAAGAAAAAAAAACACACAACATCTCTCCTATTGGTGGAAAACTTCACCACAACAACCAATCCAAAATTATATGGTGACTGATTGACAAGGGGCGGGCGCTTACGTTCTTCCTGCAACATGAGAAGGGAGGGAGGGACTCTAAGCAGGGATGCAGTCTGGGACACGTAGTTGCAAACCTAGCGACTTTGTTGTTAGATTCAATGACTTTTCAGACCCCCTAACGACTTTTTTTTAGAAAGAAAGGGACTTTTATCGACTTCTTCTGGAGTTTAGAGACTCTGACATGAAGCAGGCTTTCCTTACTGAGGAGTTAGCAACGCTGCTAAGGGTGCAGAGCCACACATGCGCTCAGAGCTCTGCATGGGAGACTGAAGCTGACAGAGCTGCAGCAGTTAGCAGGTTTCACCCTCAGAGACCACCAGGGGTTCATGATGAGGCATTTTATTTATTTTATTTTTTTTTTGCCATAGACACTGTCAGCACAATCTGCAGTTACACTAACAAAAATGCTGCAAAAAACAAAGAATTATGGAGAAATTACACATGGACTGACATAGAGGAGGATCTACACAAGTTTTTTACATCATGTTTTACATCATGCATCATTTACATCATGTTTTTTTGTAGTGGCATAAATAAAAAGTGACATTTGTGAGACTATATAATGTTTTTGTAAATAATTTTACAAAGAACGCCTGGGCCATTTCCTGCATTTTGATGTAAATAGAGGTAAATTACTATGTTCTTTGTTAGAAAATTTGCATATGTTTTGAAGTTTACAATTTGTATTTGAAGTTAAAGTTTTAAAAACAGTTCATCACACATATTTGTGGTTTTCACAGTAAAAATGTTACTTTTTTCCACTCGGATTTTATGTTTTGTGTGTGAATTTGGGTCCATTGTGTAAATACAGTATGTCAAAATGATAAAATAACTGTAAATTCACACAGGTGAGGTTGTGCTGAAAAAAATGATACCAGGCAAGGCAAGGTAAAAAAACTTTAAGAGGAAATATAAAGGTAAAATCTAAAGTAGTCAAAAACGGCCAATAGTGACTCTCAGACTCCATAGACAAGTCCCTTTGGCGCCACTCAGTGGGCAAAACTACTTTGTCTGCTGTAATGTATATTTGGGTCATCTTTGGCGCCCCCTAGAACTTAAACCGTGGGGTGCAGCGTCATGATTTTTACAACTTTGAATGGCCATGGGTTGTAGATTGGCCTGAGCAACTTTGGTGTCAGTGGGACGAAAGCCTTCGGAGGAGTTAGCGAAATTCCAATGTGTGCGAATCGGCAAAAAATGCAAAATAGCCCTTTTACCGTACATTATACAGATACGCGCTCTTTGACTTTTTCGTAGATCTAATTGAGATACACATGAGTGTCAATTTTTGTGTCAATATGACAAAGCGTTTAGGCGTGACACTCAACAATGTGTATTTTCATGTTAGGGGACAAGAAAAACTTGACTTTTTTCTCCTGCCATGGGGGGGCGCTCTTTTGGGGAGTAAAAATTCCTTCACAAATGTGTTGATGGCTGGACATAGCATCATCCTAGAAAACTTGGAGGCCAGTGAGGACAAAAATAAAAAGTTATAAGACTTTTAAGAATGTGGATTTTTGGGTTATCTTTGGCGCCCCCTAGAACATAAACCGTGGGGTGCAGCGTCATGATTTGTACAACTTTTAATGGCCCTGGGGTGTAGATTGGCCTGAGTAAATTTGGTGCCGGTGGAACGAAAGCCTTCGGAGGAGTTAGCGAAATTCCAATGTGTGCGGATCGGCAAAAAATGCAAAATAGCCCTTTAACGGTACATTTGACAGATACGCCCGCACTGACTTTTTTGTAGATCTTATTGAGATACACATGTGTGTCAAATTTTGTGTCATTTTGACAAAGCGTACAGGCGTCAGGTGAGTTTTCACCATAGGGGGCGCTATGGAGCCATTTTTCATTTTTTTGTTTGGGCGACTTCAGAATATCAAATTTTTCACCAGGCCCGGTCGTCCTGCCAAAGTTCCTGAGTTTTCACCAGTGGGAAGTGGGCCATTTTCCAGTTTAAAGCGGAGGAAAAATAACGAAAGAAGAATCCATCAGGAACAAGAGGGCTCTCGCAGCTGCTTAGCAGCTACGCTCGGGCCCTAAAGAAAGAAACAAAGAAAAACCACTTGGGGAATAATAGGGCCTACGCCCGGCTGCTCTGCAGCTGGCTCGGGCCCTAAGAAAGAAAGAAAGAAAGAAAGAAACAAAGAAAAACCACTTGGGGAATAATAGGGCCTACGCCCGGCTGCTCTGCAGCTGGCTCGGGCCCTAAAGAAGGAAACTACAGGAACAAGAGGGCTCTCGCAGCTGCTTAGCAGCTACGCTCGGGCCCTAACTAGGGCCCCGGTGGGGCACTGTCGGGCCCGAGCCGCGTCGTGCCGCCCCCAGCGTGACCGCCTCCCCCTCCCGATCGCGTCACACTCAAGGTCCAAAGATGGTGTGCGCACTTGTCTGTGGTCATTTCCCATTATAATGAATGGGAGGCGCAGTTTCTACCAAAACACTCGCTGCAGACAAACTACATGTCCTATTTGAAAAAAGTCTGGACCATGAGTGAGGGCACAAACACAGCTGGGATATATCCAAATGGCAGGTTGCTCCTCGTTACGGTGTTGCCTGGAGAGCGATGCGATTGAGCCATTGAGCGATGGGCAGGAAAAACTTGACTTTTTCTCCTGCCATGGGGGGGGAGAATGTGGATTCTTTTAAGAATGTGGATTTTTTGGTCATCTTTGGCGCCCCCTAGAACGTAAACCGTGGGGTGCAGCGTCATGATTTTTACAACTTTGAATGGCCATGAGGTGTAGATTGGCCTGAGCAAATTTGGTTTCAGTGGGACGAAAGCCTTAGGAGGAGTTAGCCACATTCCAATGTGTGCGAATCGGCAAAAAATGCAAAATAGCCCTCTAACCGTACATTTGACAGATACGCACCCATTGACTTTTTCGTAGATCTTATTGAGATACACGTGATTGTCAAATTTTGTGTCAATATGACAAAGCATACAGGTGTCACACTCAACAATGTGAATTTTCACCTTACGGGACAAGAAAAAAT